AGTGTGGCATCTCTGCTGAGTTCTGTGGATCAAGCGTGGATGGAGAAGTTTCTGTTTACGATAAGGATGTTGAAGTTAATATCCTCAGAGCATGGTTCGAGTGCTTAGAGTATTCTTCTCAAAATCTGGTCTATTAGCCAGGGCTTTGCTGGGTGTGAGATAAAGACCCAGAGTTCACACTGGCCTAAGACTGAAAAAAATGGGAGTATGGGTCTTACTTTGGATTCAGTCCAAAGTATATTGATCTTATTTTGAAGCAGATCTTGAGACGAGGAGATGAGTACAAATAGTTTATTTAGGAAATGATTCTGGGGAACTGTGGTTAGATAGTGGGGAATTGAGGGATGAAAAGGAAGATGATAAGGGTTTTTTTTTTTTTTTTACACCTTTTTATTTTATATTGGAATATAGCCAATGAACAGTGTTGTGACAGTTTCAGATGGACAGCAAAGGGACTCGGCCATATAAGTACATGCATCCATTGGTTAAAGGTGTTTATTATCAAGCTAGTTGTAATGTGGGCAGGTGGAACTGAATTCATTTGGTCCACACTCTGGGTGATATCATACAACATCTTTTCAAACTGAGGGGCAAGGGGGCTGGGGAAATTATTTATTCAATCCTTGCAGTCCTTAGTTGAGAGCTGCTGTTGGAGTTTTAACTCCCTGGCATTCTTGGTTTTTTCTGCATGATGCCAAGGGTGCTCCTGTGGCCAGGAGCATGTAAAGCATGTAAAGGTGACTGCCAAGGAGATGTAGATGCACTAGCCACAGCATCAGTCAAGGAGGGGTAAATACTAACTGACTGTATTGACTAAAAAGTTCAAGCTTGCAGTAGCTTCAGGCATAGTTAGATCCAGGGGCTAAAGAAGCATCATTTGGACTTGGTCTGTAACATTTCATTACTGGTTTTTGTTTTCTCAACATCACCTCCATTCTTAGGTGGGATTTCCCATGTCATGGTATGCTGCCTGCCAGTAGCTATATGATTTTTTAAATGTATATAATTTAGCCACCTCAGTGGAAAAACAAAACATTTTTTTCCCCTCAGACAATTTCAAAAACAGCTCTAGAATGTGTGCATATTGGCTCAACTTGGTTAGTTACTTATAAAATATTTTAACAATTAACTTAATCTACCTGGAACCCCACGCCCCCCTCCCCCACCCAAGCAGAGTCTTCACCTGCACAAAGATACTGCAATACTGTCTTTAGCTAGAATCATTTGGTTGTAAGTGACCCCCGTTCCACCACATCAAGGAATCCTTTTTATATTCATGGCATGTTTGTGCAAGCACAATTTCAAGTGTGGGCTCTCTTCTGTGTTCCTCCAGAATAACTCCTCCTCTTCTTTGCTGAGCATCTCCTTCTGAGTAGATGGTCTTCCAAATTGACTTTGTGGGGACTTCCGTGGTGGTCCAATGGCTAAGACTCCTCACTGCCAATGCAGGGGGCCCGGAGTTCGATCCCCGGCCAGGGAACTAGATCCCATATGATGCAACGGAGTTCACATGCTGCAAGTAAGACCAGTGCAGTCAAATTAAAAACAAACAAACAAACTGACCTTGTGCAGCTAGCACATCAGGATAGTGGGATAACAAGGGACGGAAGATCTAATTAAAACTGTGTTTGTGTGCATATACCTATACAGATGTTACTGACTTTCTACAGAGCCCAGAAGAGCATTTTGGGATTGTGCTCATTTAATCAATTGCTATTGTCCGTTTCTGGGAAGGAAAAAACTGCACATTTCTTCGCATCTTTTCCTGTTTTTAGCACCTCCCTAGCCACTCCAGTATTCTTGCCTGAAAAATCCCATGGACAGAGGAGCCTGGTGGGCTATAGTCCATGGGGTCACAAAGAGTTGAACACGACTGAAGCTACTGAGCATGCACTCCTTGTATGAGCTCCCCTGGTGGCTCAGTGGTAAAGAATCCACCTGCCAATGCAGGAGATGCAGGTTCGATCCCCTGGAGAAGGAAATGACAACCCACTCCAGTATTCTTGCCTGAAAAACACTATGGACAGAGGCGCCTGGTGGGCTGCAATGTATGGGGTCACATAGAGTAGGACATGACTTAGGGATTAAACAACAATATTTACATATATATCTACATAAATATGTTCATATGTATGTTTGTATATTTATATTTACATATATATGCAGTTCTATGTTCGTATAACTAAAACAGGAGCTAGCTGTGGTTTCTGTCTTGGCTGGATTCCCAGTCTCACACAGACTCATCCGTCATTCACTTTGTCTTCCTCTGGTCTCTCTGTTCCCGGACGTCATCTCACCCCATGAACGCAAGATCCTCCTCCGGTAGCTCCAGTCCCACCTGTCTCACTCTCATTCAAAGAAAAGAGTTTGTCTTGACAAAAGCTCAAACAGAAGTGCCAGAACGCCATCTCACCTACTCTGGTTGCTCTGATTCAAGTCACATGACCCTTCCTGAGGCAATCACAGGCCTTGGAAGAACCCGAGTGTCTGACTGATCAGTCTTGGATCGCATATTCTCTCTTGATTTAAACATTGTGACTTAATCAGAATTACACTGACTGAAAGTAGGAGAGAGCCGCTTCTGGAAAGAGGAAGATTAATGTCATTCATGGGTCTCCTTTGCAGCATTAATTCATTTTCTCTCTTGTGGTACACACGTTCATGACTAAAGCAGCGTCTAGCATGCATTGAAATCACCAGACTTGTTATCACTGCCCAGGTGTCCTCTGATACATTATTTAACATGTTGCATCATAGGGTTTCCCCAGCCTTCCCACTGTGGGTACCTGTGTTCTTATTCTATTATTCTTTTTGATATCCTTGGCGTCCAGTACAGAGGCTGGCATTTATCAAGCATGCAAGAAATCTTTGAGAGACAAAAAAAAGAAAAGAGAAACACAAGAAGAAATAAAGAACTCTGAATTTGAAGTCCCGAATTCCTTCCCAAGCTAGCAGTTTGGACCTGCATGTTGTCCTGGTGAGATGCAACATAGTAACCTGCACTTTCAACTCATCAGGTCCCAAAGGGAATTCACCATCTTATTTTCTGAACCATTACCCATTTCCTACTTCACTCTCTTTGACCTCAGGACATCCTGCCTGACCGTTTGATCTGGTGGATGTAGACTTTGTTTCAGAGACCACAAGCCCTCTGAAATCATGTAAAATTTTATTTTAGCTTTTTAGTGGAGTATCTCTTTTAAAAAATTATTTATTTATTTGGCTATGCCTGGTCTCAGTTGCAGCATGCAGGCTCTTCAATCTTTGTTGCGGTACATGGGTTTTTTTGTTTTTTTCTTTTTTAGTTGCTGCATGCGGGATCCTTAGTTATGGCATGGAGGATCTAGTTCCCTAACCAGGGAGTGACTCCAGGCCCGCTGCACAGAGGGAGCACAGAGCCTCAGCCACTGGACCAGCAGCATTGTCCCCATGTAAAATTTTAGGGACGTGTTTCCATGAATTGACTAGAGGTGTGTTCCTTTCAACCCTGCACAGAAAGCAGAGGCCAGGAATTCCTATGTTTGGTATTGCTTGTGTCAGTGAATATCCATGAAATGCAAAAGGGGACCGTGACCTAATGAGGTTTTAACCCTGCCTCATTACTACACATCACCCGTAAGAGCAGCCCCTTCTTGGCCAGGGCTATTTCAAGGAGATTTAGGAAGTGTTTGAGACTCCAGAAGAATGGCTGGAAATGAGAGATCCTTCAGATGGACCTCTCTGAAAGCTCAGGGCAGAATATGTGGACCACAGTCCCCTCCCTCCCCCACCCCGCAGAGGCACCAGATAAGTTCACTTGTGGCTGTCCCTTATAGTCCTGCTAAGACTTACCCAGTGCTGGAAAGAACAAGGACTCAGAGTCTATGGATCTGGGTTTACATCTCAACTCTGCCACCAGGACCTGTGAGATTAATGTCCTGTCCATTCTGAGCTTCAGTCTCCAAGCCTATAAAGTCATTATTGTAAATATCTCCGAGGGTTGTGAAACTATAATAACATTCATAGGCAAAGCACTTGCTTCATGGTGGACACTCGCTATTACTTGCTTTGTTGCATTTCTTACTGTGATGTTTGTTAATGTTGGAAGACAACTTGAGTGGAGGAAACCAAGAATTGTCAGCCTGATAAAATGGAACCATTTGCTCCTTGGTGGCTCAGTGTTAAGGAACGTGCCTGCCAATGCAGGAGACGCAGGTTCGATCCTCGGGTCAGCAAGATCCCCTGGAGAAGGAAACAGCAATCCTCCAGGGTTCTTGCCTGGGAAATCCCATAGACAGAGGAGCCTGGGGCTACAGTTCATGGGGTCGCAGAAGAGTCGGAGACGACTTTGTGATTAAATAACAACAAAACAATTCAAATAAGCATTATTTATGGCCTGCCCTCTGTTAGGCACTTTATATACCTTATCCCAATATTTCTAGCAACAACCCCCCGAGGTGGACCTTATTAGCCTCAGGGAGGAAGCAGAGGGTCAGAGGAGTTAAAAGCCTGGCCGCTGTTCAACAGCTGCTGCAAAGCGACAAATCCAGGATTTGAGCCTTGTTCACATGACATCAGATGCCATGTTTGTCCCATGACACGAGCCCCAGACCCCCTATTCTCTACACACCTTAGTTTTTTAATCGGTCCTGGGGGTGGAAGGTCAGGGGTCCTGGCACCCTAATCCAATTCTTGCTCTGGTTTTCCCATGAGAGCTTTGATCACCTTGTGTGTCCGCCACGTCCCAGCTCCAGTCGCTGGGAGGTCATCGTCCTCACTACCTGGGGACTCCAGGGGCCAGGAGCTGTGTGGGCTTTGCCTGTAAAGCAGTTTGATGATGTGTTAAGTGTCACTGCTTAATGAGCTGCAGGACCAAACACTCAGGGTAGAGGCGAGGGAGGTCGACACAGCCCCCAGACACATGCTCCTGCCCAAATTCAATCGTAAACGTCACAACCAGGGGCGGGTCTGGAGCCGCCCGCTCAGAGAACCCCGACTTCCGTTGCCCCATTGGCCTCTGACTAATCCACTCCCCACTCAACAGCTTGCCCCGACTTCCTCCCCAGTCCTCCAGTGGCCCCCCCAACCCCCCAGCCCATCCTCAGGGTTGTCGCCATGGGAGGTCTCTTCTTACAACAGGGCAAAGCAATTAAGGCCAGACGGGGCGAATTAAACCAGAAAGAATGAGTTTCCTCCAGTGCCAGAGAAATATTTGGGGCCTTGCTTTGGAGGAGAAGCCAGGAGGAGAGATGGACTGTGGTTGAGTGGTGAGGATGGAGGCTGATGGGATAGGACCAGGCAACAATAGGAAGGAGAGAAGGGGTGTGTCTCTGGTGTGTCCTCAGTCGTGTCTGACTCTTTGTGACCCCCTGGGCTACAGCCTGCCAGGCTCCTCGGTCCATGGAATGTTCCAGGCAAGAATACTGGAGTGGGCTGCCATTTCCTATTCCAGGGTGTCTCTGGATAGAAGGTTAAAATGGAAAGACAAGTTGAAGGGAGAATGGCAGAGTCATTCATTCACTCATTCATTCATCCATCTACATATTCACTCAGTCATTCATCTACCCATTCATTCATTCATTTACTCATCCATCCATCCATACATTCATCCATTCTTCCATTCAGGTATCAAACATTGGCCTAGATGTTTTAAATCCAAGGACAAATTGGAGACCATAATGAATTGATTAGGAACCAGGGCTTTGGAATGAACAGATATGGCAGATTCCACCGTTTGTTACTGGGGTAACCCTTGGCAAGAGACCCAAGCTCCCATGCCACAGTTTCAATAAAATGTGTCCTGCCAGGGCTTTGGGGGAGAATTAAATAATACAATGGATGCAGAATGAACATTGTTTTGCCCTTAAGTAGATATTCAATAAAATTAATACATCATGTATAGGGTCCTCTGTGTGTGTCTGTTGAATGAATAATTAAGTTTGTGCTTATGTTTCTAACTGTTTTATATACTTTGGTTTGTATAGTTCTCAAAAATACACGAGGAAGTCGTTACTACCATCTTCCTTTCTTTCTAAATAGAAACCGAGGCACCTAAAGGTTGTATTATCTTCCAAAACCTCACAATTGTTAAGTAGCAGAGGTAGCATTTGAGCCCAGGGAGCTTAACTCCAGAAACTGTGCATCTGAAGGTCAAATGACACTGCCTCCGAGTGTTGCCGGAGGAAGAAAAATAATTATGTTATACCTTGTGTGTTTAAGCAGTGGGCATTGGATCGGAGGATCCTTGGAGATCTCTTTACAGAATTCTATTCAATGACTACCCCTGCCCATGGCCGGGTATGGACACACACACACAAGGACACAAACGCATGCTTGTGTGTGTGCATACTTCGGCCTCTGCTGACCTCCAGCTGCTCCTCTCCCCGTGCCCTGCAGCGGTGGCTGTTTCCTGAGAAGGGGTGGCTGGACTTGTTGTGTGGATGCCTAAAGCAAAGGCTGCTGACCCCTGTAACCCCAATTCCATCCCACGGTGCCCTCCTCCTCCCCGCTTCCCCCTTTCCTTCCCTCCCTCCAGGGCCGGTGCAAACATGGCATCCAATTTGTTACATACACAGGGAGGTCAGGGCCCGGCTGGCCCCTGCACTTTTCTCGGAGTGGGTCACTTGACTGTGGCTCGCTTGTTTTTCTCTCTGCTCTTTGAAAGCATCAATGGGAGTCAGGGAGGGAGCTGGGACCAGACGGTGACCTCTGACTATAAGAAATTCATGGAAGAGGAGGTTTTCTGGAGTCCTGCCTAGGTGTCAAAGCTGTTTAGGCAAGGCTGTGTGGGAGGATTTTGACGGAGAACTTGGGGTTCACCATAGACTGCAGGACAGATGGACTGCACTGCCTGTAAAGTAATTGAAGTTCACAGACAAAACGTATGTGATATTGTGTCTCTCTATGGGTATGCGTGCATGGTGTGTGCCTACCCCTGTGTATGCATGTGCTCATGTGGGCGTTTTTCTGGCCAGAGGGTTCACAGATATTAGAATTTCAAAAGGATTTGAGTCTCCCTAAGGGTCAAAGTCCACTGGCTTAATGTCCCAGGGAGTTGAAAGGGGAAGTTCTAAAGTGATTTGGGACAATGAAGGACCCAGGGAAAATCCCATGGACTCACAGAGTCTGAGCACCACATTAATTGATCCAGGGGCCCCAATCCAAATATCTGCAGGGACCCACGGTGAATGTCAGTACATGATGAGTCCAGCCAAGTGGAAGACATGTCTTGGTGTCTGGGAGACAAGCTGGAGGAAACCAGATAGTAAAGAACAACTGTCCCCATTGAGGGGTCACAGCCATCACAGCCGTTGTTGACATGCTGGAGTGCTGCCCCAACTTTGCTGGGTCTTCCAACTCTTTTGAGGAAAATCAGAAACCCAGATTTCTGTCTGAAATGTCCCAAGTGAAAATATGCAAAGATATGTTACATTAGAATATTGTGAAAGCCAAACAATGTGCAGGCCTGATCTGGCCTGTGAGTGTCTAGTTTTGCACATCCAGCGTTTTGTCTCCAAATCATTTTCCAGGGAAGGAACTGCAAACCAGAAAGGAGAAGAAGTCTGTTCTTTCAAGAACCCATAAAATGAAGAGTCAGGACTCAAAAGCCTAGTGGACCAGTGGCTAAGACTCCGAGCTCCCAATGCAGGGGACCCAGGTTCAACTCCCTGGTCAGGGAACTAAGACCCCTACATGCTGCAACTAAGAGTTTGCACGCTGCCACAAAAAAGATCCCACATGCCACAACTAAGACTTGGTGCAACCAAGTAAATACTTAAAAAAAAAGTCAGGTCTCTTAAGTCACAACCCTTGTTTCTCCTACTCTCACATGCTGCTCTTTTGTGGTTGTTCAGTCACTAAGTTGTGTCCAATTCTTTGTGACCTCATGGACTGCAGCACGCCAGGCTCCCCTGTCCTTTGCTAGCTCCTGGAGTTTGCTCAAATTCATGTGCATTGAGTTGGTGATGCTGTCTAACATGCAGCTTAAGAAGTAACTTTTCTCTATTGTTCAGCTTCTCCCAGGTAGGTCAGCAGTTATTTAGGCCTAGATAATAGACATCACCACTCCTTATTTACCCATCAGGGGATGGAGAGGAGGTCTATTGCCTGGGTGTCTTCACCTCTCCCATTTAGAATAAAGCCCTTTTGCTTTATACCTTGATCCTGGGCTTGGCCATGTCATTTGCTTTGGCTAATGAGACCTTAGCAGATGTGACACAAGCCAGGTTTAGAAAAGCGCTAACTAATTTCACCTTGCTTTGCTCACCCTGGGACCTCTGCCATCACCTTGTGAACTAATGTGGTGCAGTGTGCTGGAAGCATGTGAGAAACAGGGAGGTGAACTGAGGCCACTCTAGATCAGCCAGTCCCCAGCCAGCTCCCAACTGACTGTATTCACAAAAGCAAGCACAACCTAAATCACTCAAACTCAGCTCACAACAGCAAGACCATCCAGCCTTCTCATAGAATCATGAGAAATGAATACTTGGTTGCCATTTTAAACCACATTAAATTCATAACCCTCATTCTATGACACCCAGGTCACTTTTTATTTTGTCTCTTGAGTTATTGGAGTACCCTGCAGATATGGGGATGTACTGGTAAATGGACCGGTATAACTGGGTTGTTGTTGTTTAGTCACTAAGTCATGTCTGACTCTTTGTAATCTACCAGGCTCCTCTGTCCATGGGATTACCTAGGAAAGCATACTGGAGCGGGTTGCTATTTCCTTCTCTAGGGCATCTTCCTGACCTAGGGATTAAACCTACATCTCCTCCATTGGCAGGCATATTCTTTACCACTGAGTCACCTGGGAAGCCCCATAACTGAATTATATGCAGAGTACATTTTGCTGAAAAGATGGCCCCATAATATTTCTGTAAATAGGTCATATTTAATAATCCCAAGTGTAGGAGGCAGTGTATGGGGTAGGTTATGCTGCAATCACAAAGCTCCAAATCTCAGTGGCTTTATGTAACAAGAGTTAATTTCTCTCTCATGCTTCATGTAAGACGCATGTTGGCCTGGGGGTGGGGGGCAGGCATTCTACTCCTTGAAATCTTTCAGAGATCCAGACTAGCAGAGAGTTTACCTTGACATATGCTTCCATGGCTATGACAGCAGTGGGAAATGAACATGGAGACTCACTTATCACAGCTCTCAGAGCTTCCAAGTGACACATACTGAGTGACAAAGTGACACGTATCCCTCTGCTCATATTTCATTGGTTGAAGCAAGTCACATGACCATGCCTAACTTCAGAAGGGGCAGAGATGTACAATTCTTCCAAGTACCTGGAAAGTAGAGCATTAGAAATATTTGATGAGTAGCACAACTGGCTACTAGGCTTCCCTAGTGGCTTAGTGGTAAAGAATTCAGCTGCCAATGCAGGAGACACAGGTCCAGTCCCTGGGTCGGGAAGATCTCCTGGAGGAAGAAATGGCAACCATCTCCAGTATTCTTGCCTGGAAAATTCCATGGACAGAGGAGCCTTGTGGGCTACAGTCTGTGGGGTCGCAAAAGAGTTGGACATGACTTAACGACTAAACAATAACAACAATTGGCTACTGCATCAAGGAAATTCAGCAATTTAAGAGAATCTTTATTAAAAAACAGAATATGTTGATTATCTAACATTGGCTTGGCATTTTGTTTACTTTATCTTACTTAATATGCACCCTGGAAGACAAACATGACTATGCTTGTTTTTACAAAGTGGAAAACTGAAGATTGGAAAGATTATACAAATGCTGGCGGTCACCTGGCCAGGAAGTGATGGATTTAACTTTGAAGCTGGCTGTCTCTCTCTTCCCCTCCAATGGTTTACTCTTCACCACACTTAAAAAATGTTCAACGCTTCCTTTCAGAAGCACCATATATTTTAAAAACTCCAAGAGTAAAATAGTATTAAGAAAGATAAAGATTTTTCTTAGGGAATTCAGTGTCTGGCCATTAAAATGTTCATGGTCTGTCTTTTGTTGGATGACAATTTCCATATCAGGCTTTTCTTAAAGCAGGGGAATCAGAGAAAAAAAAAACCCAACAGTGAGCCAATATTAACACAATACATGATTTAGTTTTCTTGGGGATTAAGGGTGGTGCATGGAAGCTTATCAACTTTCTCTAGTGAGACCCTGGTATAATCTCGCTGTCAAACAAGGCTTTTGTTTATCCCAACCTTCACTGGAGGATTTCTTTACAATTTTGAAAGTGATTTTTTGTAGTTTATCTTATTGTGCAGCAAAATTCACTCCTCTCCCTCTCCCGCTGCTGTTGGAGAACATTTCCCCCATGCTGTTGAGTTTGGGCTTGGTTACGTGACATGTTTTGGTCACCAGTGTTGGTGGGGGGTAATGATGTAAGCTGAGTCCTTAAACATGCTTGCATGTATTGGCCTGACTCT